CTGTGTGTGTCACCAATGTGATGTTTGTAGACCCCTTCATCTCGTGTCCTCGCCTTCCATACTCCAGCTAACTTACTTCACGTGTGTGTATAAACTACACAGATATTTAGTCTCGCTGGTCTCGTCATGAAACTGCAATGAAAAAGCACCACGGGAGGCAGCGATCACATCTGCCTCCCTGAGGGGGGCGTGTCTTGAGCCCACGTCATTGACGCTCTCCCTCCACGTCAGCCAGCTCGAGCAAAACAATGTCCAGCGGCTGCAAAAATGTAAAAGGTTTCATCTCTAAACTTCAAATCTAGAAGTTATGTCTGTAGCCTTAAACATTCCTCACAATTGGAGTTTCAATCTGAACGGAGCGTGATCAGCAATGTCAGAGCTTGAGGGCCGACTTCTAACGAAGGCCCAGAAGTGAACACGGCCACGTGTCACGTGCAGTGGCACCAGCACCCAGACTGCTGCTGCTGCTGCACCTGCTGCGTGTGGCAGTGCTACCAAGTGAATCACCTTCACTGCTGCTGCTGCTGCTGCGTGTGGCAGTGCTACCAAGTGAATCACCTTCACTGCTGCTGCTGCTGCTGCGTGTGGCAGTGCTACCAAGTGAATCACCTTCACTGCTGCCCCTGCTGCATGTGGCAGTGCTACCAAGTGAATCACCTTCACTGCTGCTGCTGCTGCGTGTGGCAGTGCTACCAAGTGAATCACCTTCACTGCTGCTGCTGCTGCGTGTGGCAGTGCTACCAAGTGAATCGCCTTCACTGCTGCTGCTGCTGCGTGTGGCAGTGCTACCAAGTGAATCACCTTCACTGCTGCACCTGCTGCGTGTGGCAGTGCTACCAAGTGAATCGCCTTCACTGCTGCTGCTGCTGCATGTGGCAGTGCTACCAAGTGAATCACCTTCACTGCTGCTGCTGCTGCGTGTGGCAGTGCTACCAAGTGAATCACCTTCACTGCTGCTGCTGCTGCATGTGGCAGTGCTACCAAGTGAATCGCCTTCACTGCTGCTGCTGCTGCGTGTGGCAGTGCTACCAAGTGAATCACCTTCACTGCTGCTGCTGCTGCATGTGGCAGTGCTACCAAGTGAATCACCTTCACTGCTGCACCTGCTGCGTGTGGCAGTGCTACCAAGTGAATCGCCTTCACTGCTGCTGCTGCTGCGTGTGGCAGTGCTACCAAGTGAATCGTCTTCACTGCTGCTGCTGCTGCATGTGGCAGTGCTACCAAGTGAATCGTCTTCACTGCTGCACCTGCTGCGTGTGGCAGTGCTACCAAGTGAATCACCTTCACTGCTGCACCTGCTGCGTGTGGCAGTGCTACCAAGTGAATCGTCTTCACTGCTGCACCTGCTGCGTGTGGCAGTGCTACCAAGTGAATCACCTTCACTGCTGCACCTGCTGCGTGTGCCAGTGCTACCAAGTGAATCGTCTTCACTGCTGCACCTGCTGCGTGTGGCAGTGCTACCAAGTGAATCACCTTCACTGCTGCACCTGCTGCGTGTGGCAGTGCTACCAAGTGAATCACCTTCACTGCTGCTGCTGCTGCGTGTGGCAGTGCTACCAAGTGAATCGCCTTCACTGCTGCCCCTGCTGCGTGTGGCAGTGCTACCAAGTGAATCTCCTTCACTGCTGCCCCTGACTTCTGTTCTCCACTGCCGACGACGCTTGGACTCAGGCGGGATTCTGTGACTTGAACATCTACCAAGGAGCCTCAACAAACGTGAACAATCGACAACTCACATTCAAAGCCAAATTGCTGTAAAAACGTCTGGAGCTTCAAGGATAGATCTGGCTTTGAATGAACGGCGGAGATTAAACATCAGCCTCCACGACGCTGAGCTAAAGGAAAACCGCGAGGTTGTGAAAGGCCTCATCAATGCGACCTGCTGCCTAGCCAGACAGGAACCATCAGCATGTCGTGGTGACGATGTGGAGGAGCTGTTTCACGCTCTTGCTGAGAAGGATGAAAGTTAGCGAGACATGTGGAGACATCCGCTGTGTGTCATGGCTCCTCACACAGAACACAGAACGACTTAATGGAAGCAGCCGGTGACGTCGTTAGCAGTGACATCAGCGAGGAGATGAACACAGCCCCACTGGTTGCGCTCCAAGTGGACGAGGCCACGGCTGTCACAGACAAGGCCCAGGCCTCTGTGGTGCTGCGTCGTTGTGGCTACAAGCGCGGTGACGACTTGTGAGCTGGGGGAGGCGTTCTTGGGATTTGGTGACGTCGGTGATGACAGAGCAGCACCGGCTATGGCTGGTGATGTTTCGTGAGTGTTGGGGAAACTGCGTTGAAGAGCTGGGAGCTCAGACTGTGACGGCATCAGGTCTTCGTGGGGTGCAGGCCAAGGCTACAGACAAGGTGCCTGAAGCCAGGCTCACACATTGCTACGCACACAAGTTGAAGCTGGCGCTCATCTCGCTCTCAGCAAGATGCGCACCTGAGTGTCAACGTGTTTAAAACAGTCGAAGGGCTCGCGACGTCTTCACTGAGTCGACCACGTGCACCCACCTCCTGAGTCGACCACGTGCCCCCACCTCCTGAGTCGACCACGTGCCCCCACCTCCTGAGTCGACCACGTGCCCCCACCTCCTGAGTCGACCACGTGCCCCCACCTCCTGAGTCGACCACGTGCCCCCACCTCCTGAGTCGACCACGTGCACCCACCTCCTGAGTCGACCACGTGCACCCACCTCCTGAGTCGACCACGTGCACCCACCTCCTGAGTCGACCACGTGCACCCACCTCCTGAGTCGACCACGTGCACCCCCCTCCTGAGTCGACCACGTGCACCCCCCTCCTGAGTGACCACGTGCCCCCACCTCCTGAGTCGACCACGTGCACCCACCTCCTGAGTCGACCACGTGCCCCCACCTCCTGAGTCGACCACGTGCACCCACCTCCTGAGTCGACCACGTGCACCCCCCTCCTGAGTGACCACGTGCACCCCCCTCCTGAGTGACCACGTGCACCCCCCTCCTGAGTGACCACGTGCACCCACCTCCTGAGTCGACCACGTGCACCCCCCTCCTGAGTGACCACGTGCACCCCCCTCCTGAGTGACCACGTGCACCCCCCTCCTGAGTGACCACGTGCACCCACCTCCTGAGTCGACCACGTGCCCCCACCTCCTGAGTCGACCACGTGCACCCCCCTCCTGAGTGACCACGTGCACCCCCCTCCTGAGTGACCACGTGCACCCACCTCCTGAGTCGACCACGTGCCCCCACCTCCTGAGTCGACCACGTGCACCCCACCTCCTGGGCGACGTCGTGAAGTGACGTTCACCACGAGCAGCGTCCACCAGATGGAGCTCAGATTCTAGACTCGTTCTCACGGTCGGCAGCTACCAGTCCGATCTGCGTGCCGTGCTCCAGGTGATGGCTGGGACAACGACACCCTCATGATGGCCGCCGGACGTGACGTCTGGCTGTCAAAAGCATCAACCTGCTTCTTCACGGTGGCACACGAGGGCACTTTCAACGAGCCCGATGCACTCTGTCGCGTGCTGCAGAACAAAGTGGTGGACACTGATTCTGCTGTGAGCGAATCCGCGACACGATGGGAGTTGTGGGACGCCAGAGACAAGAGTTTGACAGCTTCTGTGATCGATTGGAGCAGAAATGCGTCGCACGTGGCCTGACAGACATTGCCCAAAGTCGACAGCCCATCAGAGATGAGAGGAACAGAATGTTTGATGACATTGTGGACAACATCAGTGCTCACGTGAGAGCGAGGTTTGATCATTCCGGTGAGCTAACTTTCCTCGGTTTGGTTGATTGCAGGAAATTTCATGAAATGTCTCAACATTTGGATGACACCAAACTGCAGAGCCAATCACAATGTGGAGGAACTCTGACTTTGTTAGACTCAAGGCTGACCTCGTCGGAGTGAATAGTTCACAAATGGTGAGGAACGAAGCAAACCACCCGAACGGCTCCTCAGCTTTGTGGCCCACAATGATCTGATGCCGACGGCTCGTGAGGAGACAGAGTCACTCAGCTGCTGCTGGCAGCGCTCGCTGCGCCAGCTGCAACAGCGGCCGCTGGAGGTCGTGGTTCTCTGCTGTGAAACGACTCAAAACAGTGGGAATCGGACTGACCAAGGACGACTTTCATCCCTGGCAATCACCTCGACTGAGACGGAGAGACTTTAACAACTCAAAGAGAACAAAGAGGACTTCTACAACAAAGTCACTGACATCTTTGTCCAGAAGGAGTGGCGAATGGACTTCATCTACAAGTGAAGGTAAGACCACGCAACATCCATTATCATTTGTGTTGAATGAGTACGAATAGTGGAACTGCATTCGCCTATAAAACGTGAATTGTTGACGTAACTCACCTGTGTGCGTGTGTTGTAAACAATGACGACGTTAAGTATGAAACATGCAGACGCCTCACCATCATCTACTACTCACCATCATCTACTACCCTCCATCATCTACTACTCACCATCATCTACTACTCGCCACCATCATCTACTACCCTCCATCATCTACTACTCACCATCATCTACTACTCGCCACCATCATCTACTACTCACCATCATCTACTACCCACCATCATCTACTACTCACCATCATCTACTACTCACCATCATCTACTACTCACCCCATGTCTCCCCGCGTCTCCCCGCGTCTCCCCGCATCTCCCCACGTCTCCCCGCGTCTCCCCGTGTCTCCCCGTGTCTCCTCATGTCTCCCCACGTCTCCTCGTGTCTCCCCGTGTCTCCCCGTATCTCCCCGCGTCTCCCCGTGTCTCCCCACGTATCGCCCCGTGTCTCCCCACGTCTCCCCGTGTCTCCCCACGTCTCCCCACGTCTCCCCCCGAGTCTCCCAACATCTCCCCGTGTGTCCCCGTGTCTCCCCCCGAGTCTCCCCACGTATCGCCCCACGTCTCCCCGCGTGTCCCCGTGTCTCCCCGTGTCTCCCCGCGTGTCTCCCCGCGTCTCCCCGTGTCTCCCCACGTCTCCCCGTGTCTCCCCACGTGTCCCCGTACCGGCTCAGTCTTGCTGCGCTCCCACAGCGGCTGGTGCTTCAGGATGTCCAGGAGATGTTTGATGGTGCCGCACTGACCCACAGCACGGCCTGACACAACCACAACAACCACGTCAACAACCACGTCAACAACCACGTCAACAACCACGTCAACAACCACGTCAACAACCACAACAACAACCACATCAACAACCACAAACACCACCAACACCAACCACCACCTCCACTAACACCACCAGCACCACTAACACCACCACCACCACTAAGCACCAAAGACAAAGACCCCCGTGTAGCCTGTAACAGACTGTCGGGGCAAGTGCTGTTAGCGAGCACCTATGAAGGCCGGAACAGCTCACGAGGGGGTGGCTACCAGCACCACGCCCGACCGCCTTTGTCTCTCCAGTGGCGATATTTACACACCGCACCAGGTACTCAGTTGAGGCTGAGTCGACCTACGGGAGGCCCAGGACCGTTTCAGATTATCGTCACTGGGTACTGGCCGTGAGCGGGAATCGAACTCAGGTCACCAGGTTCGTAGTGCAGCGTAGCGCTAACAACTACACCACCACTCCCCACAGCACCACCACAACAACCACCACCACTCTCTACTCTACTCTACCACCACTACCACCACTCTCTACTCTACTCTACCACCACTACCACCACTCTCTACTCTACTCTACCACCACTACCACCACTCTCTACTCTACTCTACCACCACTACCACCACTCTCTACTCTACTCTACCACCACTACCACCACACTCTACTCTACTCTACCACCACCACCACCACTCTCTACTCTACTCTACCACCACAACCACCACTCTCTACTCTACTCTACCACCACCACCACCACTCTCTACTCTACTCTACCACCACTACCACCACTCTCTACTCTACTCTACCACCACAACCACCACTCTCTACTCTACTCTACCACCACCACCACCACTCTCTACTCTACCACAACCACCACCACTCTCTACTCTACTCTACCACCACTACAACCACTCTCTACTCTACTCTACCACCACCACCACCACTCTCTACTCTACTCTACCACCACTACCACCACTACCACCACTCTCTACTCTACTCTACCACCACCACCACCACTCTCTACTCTACTCTACCACCACTACCACCACTCTCCACTCTACTCTACCACCACTACCACCACTCTGTACTCTACTCTACCACCACAACCACCACTCTCTACTCTACTCTACCACCACCACTCTCTACTCTACTCTACCACCACTATCACCACTCTCTACTCTACTCTACCACCACTATCACCACTCTCTGCACTACTCTACCACCACTACCACCACTCTCTACTCTACTCTACCACCACTACCACCACTCTCTACTCTACTCTACCACCACTACAACCACTCTCCACTCTACTCTACCACCACCACCACCACTCTCCACTCTACTCTACCACAACAACCACCACTCTCTACTCTACTCTACCACCACTACCACCACTCTCTACTCTACTCTACCACCACTACCACCACTCTCTACTCTACTCTACCACCACTACCACCACTCTCTACTCTACTCTACCACCACTACAACCACTCTCCACTCTACTCTACCACCACCACCACCACTCTCCACTCTACTCTACCACCACCACCACCACTCTCCACTCTACTCTACCACAACAACCACCACTCTCTACTCTACTCTACCACCACTACCACCACTCTCTACTCTACTCTACCACCACTACCACCACTCTCCACTCTACTCTACCACCACTACAACCACTCTCCACTCTACTCTACCACCACTACCACCACTCTCTACTCTACTCTACCACCACTACCACCACTCTCCACTCTACTCTACCACCACTACCACCACACTCTACTCTACTCTACCACCACTCTCTACTCTACTCTACCACAACAACCACCACTCTCTACTCTACTCTACCACCACCACCACCACTCTCTACTCTACTCTACCACCACTACCACCACTCTCTACTCTACTCTACCACCACCACCACCACTCTCTACTCTACTCTACCACCACTATCACCACTCTCTACTCTACTCTACCACCACTACCACCACTCTCTACTCTACTCTACCACCACTACCACCACTCTCTACTCTACTCTACCACCACTACAACCACTCTCCACTCTACTCTACCACCACCACCACCACTCTCCACTCTACTCTACCACAACAACCACCACTCTCTACTCTACTCTACCACCACTACCACCACTCTCTACTCTACTCTACCACCACTACCACCACTCTCTACTCTACTCTACCACCACTACCACCACTCTCTACTCTACTCTACCACCACTACAACCACTCTCCACTCTACTCTACCACCACCACCACCACTCTCCACTCTACTCTACCACCACCACCACCACTCTCCACTCTACTCTACCACAACAACCACCACTCTCTACTCTACTCTACCACCACTACCACCACTCTCTACTCTACTCTACCACCACTACCACCACTCTCCACTCTACTCTACCACCACTACAACCACTCTCCACTCTACTCTACCACCACTACCACCACTCTCTACTCTACTCTACCACCACTACCACCACTCTCCACTCTACTCTACCACCACTACCACCACACTCTACTCTACTCTACCACCACTCTCTACTCTACTCTACCACAACAACCACCACTCTCTACTCTACTCTACCACCACCACCACCACTCTCTACTCTACTCTACCACCACTACCACCACTCTCTCCTCTACTCTACCACCACCACCACCACTCTCTACTCTACTCTACCACCACTATCACCACTCTCTACTCTACTCTACCACCACTACCACCACTCTCCACTCTACTCTACCACCACTACCACCACTCTCTACTCTACTCTACCACCACTATCACCACTCTCTACTCTACTCTACCACCACTACCACCACTCTCTACTCTACTCTACCACAACAACCACCACTCTCTACTCTACTCTACCACCACTACCACCACTCTCCACTCTACTCTACCACCACTACCACCACTCTCTACTCTACTCTACCACCACTACCACCACACTCTACTCTACTCTACCACCACTCTCTACTCTACTCTACCACCACTACCACCACTCTCTACTCTACTCTACCACCACTACCACCACTCTCCACTCTACTCTACCACCACTACCACCACTCTCCACTCTACTCTACCACCACTACCACCACTCTCTACTCTACTCTACCACAACAACCACCACTCTCTACTCTACTCTACCATCACTACCACCACTCTCTACTCTACTCTACCACCACTACCACCACTCTCTACTCTACTCTACCACCACTACCACCACTCTCTACTCTACTCTACCACCACTACCACCACTCTCTACTCTACTCTACCACCACTACCACCACTCTCTACTCTACTCTACCACCACTACCACCACTCTCCACTCTACTCTACCACCACTACCACCACTCTCTACTCTACTCTACCACCACTACCACCACTCTCTACTCTACTCTACCACCACTACCACCACTCTCTACTCTACTCTACCACCACTACCACCACTCTCTACTCTACTCTACCACCACTACCACCACTCTCTACTCTACTCTACCACCACTACCACCACTCTCTACTCTACTCTACCACCACTACCACCACTCTCCACTCTACTCTACCACCACTACCACCACTCTCTACTCTACTCTACCACCACTACCACCACTCTCTACTCTACTCTACCACCACTACCACCACTCTCCACTCTACTCTACCACCACTACAACCACTCTCCACTCTACTCTACCACCACTACCACCACTCTCTACTCTACTCTACCACCACTACCACCACTCTCCACTCTACTCTACCACCACTACCACCACACTCTACTCTACTCTACCACCACTACCACCACTCTCTACTCTACTCTACCACCACTACCACCACTCTCTACACTACTCTACCACCACCACCACCACTCTCTACTCTACTCTACCACCACTACCACCACTCTCTACTCTACTCTACCACCACTACCACCACTCTCTACACTACTCTACCACCACTACCACCACTCTCTACTCTACTCTACCACCACTACCACCACTCTCCACTCTACTCTACCACCACTACCACCACTCTCTACTCTACTCTACCACCACTACCACCACTCTCTACTCTACTCTACCACCACTACCACCACTCTCTACTCTACTCTACCACCACTACCACCACTCTCTACTCTACTCTACCACCACTACCACCACTCTCTACTCTACTCTACCACCACTACCACCACTCTCTACTCTACTCTACCACCACTACCACCACTCTCCACTCTACTCTACCACCACTACCACCACTCTCTACTCTACTCTACCACCACTACCACCACTCTCTACTCTACTCTACCACCACTACCACCACTCTCTACTCTACTCTACCACAACAACCACCACTCTCTACTCTACTCTACCATCACTACCACCACTCTCTACTCTACTCTACCCCACCACTCTCTACTACCACCACTCTCTACTCTACTCTACCACCACTACCACCACTCTCTACTCTACTCTACCACCACTACCACCACTCTCTACACTACTCTACCACCACCACCACCACTCTCTACTCTACTCTACCACCACTACCACCACTCTCTACTCGCTCCGTGTTGCTCACCCAATGCTGGGCTGAAGTCCGTGTAGCTCATCAGAATGCTCACAGTGGCGTTGATGAGTCTGGTGTTTGCGTCGGGCACCGGGGAGTCCTTGTCAGACAGAGACGTGAGAGCCTGGGCCAGCAGCTCTGTGTGGAGACAGAGACACACGCAGACGTGCAGACATAGACACACAGACACACAGACACACAGACACACCATCTCACAGACACACCCACTCGTAGACACACAGACACACAGACACACAGACACACCATCTCACAGACACACCCACTCACAGACTCACGGACATACAGACACATAGACTCACAGACACACAGACACACCCACTCGTAGACACACAGACACACAGACACACGGACACACAGACACACGGACACACCCACTCGTAGACACACAGACACACAGACACACAGACACACGGACACACCCACTCGTAGACACACAGACACACAGACTCACGGACACACAGACACACAGACACACGGACACGAGAGCACCACGTGTGGAGGCAAGCCGCTGTGTACGTGACTGTAGGTGCCTGTGTGTGCCTGCACGTGCGTTGCGTGTGCGTGCATGTTTGTGCGCGTTAATTTGGTGTCTGTGTAAGCTGACCACCCATCTGCTTGTGTTGCAGCTGAGACTGACGTCGATGTGAATGTGCTCTACGTGTGGGCTGTGTGAGAGTGAGTTGAGTGAGAGTGAGCTGTGAGTGAGAGTGAGCTGTGAGTGAGAGTGAGCTGTGAGTGAGAGTGAGCTGTGAGTGAGAGTGAGCTGTAAGTGAGAGTGAGCTGTGTGTGAGAGTGAGCTGTGTGTGAGAGAGCTGTGAGTGAGCTGTGTGTGAGAGTGAGCTGTGAGTGAGAGTGAGCTGTGTGTGAGAGTGAGCTGTGAGTGAGAGTGAGCTGTGTGTGAGAGTGAGCTGTGAGTGAGAGTGAGCTGTGTGTGAGAGTGAGCTGTGTGTGAGAGTGAGCTGTGAGTGAGAGTGAGCTGTGAGTGAGAGTGAGCTGTGAGTGAGAGTGAGCTATGAGTGAGCTGTGTGTGAGAGTGAGCTGTGAGTGAGAGTGAGCTGTGTGAGTGAGCTGTGAGAGTGAGCTATGAGTGAGAGTGAGCTGTGAGTGAGAGTGAGCTGTGAGTGAGAGTGAGCTGTGAGTGAGCTGTGTGTGAGAGTGAGCTGTGTGTGAGAGTGAGCTGTGAGTGAGAGTGAGCTGTGAGTGAGCTGTGTGTGAGAGTGAGCTGTGAGTGAGAGTGAGCTGTGTGTGTGTGTGAGCTGTGTGTGAGAGTGAGCTGTGAGTGAGAGTGAGCTGTGAGTGAGAGTGAGCTGTGAGTGAGAGTGAGCTGTGAGTGAGCTGTGTGTGTGAGTGAGTTGTGTGAGTGAGCTGTGAGTGAGAGTGAGCTGTGAGTGAGAGTGAGCTGTGTGTGAGAGTGAGCTGTGAGTGAGAGTGAGCTGTGAGTGAGAGTGAGCTGTGAGTGAGAGTGAGCTGTGAGTGAGCGAGCTGTGAGTGAGAGTGAGCTGTGAGTGAGAGTGAGCTGTGTGTGAGAGTGAGAGTGAGTGAGCGAGCTGTGTGTGAGAGTGAACTGTGAGTGAGCTGTGAGTGAGAGTGAGCTGTGAGTGAGCTGTGAGTGAGAGTGAGCTGTGAGTGAGATTGAGCTGTATGTGAGAGTGAGAGTGAGCTGTGAGTAAGAGTGAGCTGTGTGTGAGAGTGAGCTGTATGTGAGAGTGAGAGTGAGCTGTGAGTGAGAGTGAGCTGTGAGTGAGAGTGAGCTGTGAGTAAGAGTGAGCTGTGTGTGAGAGTGAGCTGTGAGTGAGAGTGAGCTGTGAGTGAGATTGAGCTGTGTGTGAGTGAGCGGTGAGTGAGAGTGAGCTGTGGGTGAGAGTGAGCTGTAAGTGAGAGTGAGCTGTGTGTGTGAGTGAGCTGTGTGTGTGAGTGAGCTGTGAGTGAGCTGTGAGTGAGAGTGAGCTGTGAGTGAGAGTGAGCTGTGAGTGAGAGTGAGCTGTGTGTGAGTGAGCTGTGTGTGTGAGTGAGCTGTGAGTGAGCTGTGAGTGAGAGTGAGCTGTGAGTGAGAGTGAGCTGTGAGTGAGAGTGAGCTGTGTGTGAGAGTGAGCTGTGTGTGTGAGTGAACTGTGAGTGAGAGTGAGCTGTGTATGAGAGTGAGCTGTGTGTGTGAGTGAACTGTGAGTGAGAGTGAGCTGTGAGTGAGAGTGAGCTGTGAGTGAGAGTGATCTGTGAGTGAGAGTGAGCTGTGAGTGAGCTGTGAGTGAGAGTGAGCTGTGTGTGAGTGAGCTGTGAGTGAGAGTGAGCTGTGTGAGAGTGAGCTGTGAATGAGCTGTGAGTGTGAGTGAGCTGTGAGTGAGAGTGAGCTGTGAGTGAGAGTGAGCTGTGAGTGAGAGTGAGCTGTGAGTGAGAGTGAGCTGTGAGTGAGAGTGAGCTATGAGTGAGAGTGAGCTGTGAGTGAGAGTGAGCTGTGTGTGAGAGTGAGCTGTGTGTGAGTGAGCTGTGAGTGAGCTGTGAGTGAGAGTGAGCTGTGTGTGAGAGTGAGCTGTGAGTGAGAGTGAGCTGTGTGTGAGAGTGAGCTGTGTGTGAGAGTGAGCTGTGAGTGAGAGTGAGCTGTGAGTGAGAGTGAGCTGTGAGTGAGAGTGAGCTGTGTGTGAGAGTGAGCTGTGTGTGAGCTGTGAGTGAGAGTGAGCTGTGAGTGAGCTGTGTGTGAGAGTGAGCTGTGAGTGAGAGTGAGCTGTGTGTGTGTGTGAGCTGTGTGTGAGAGTGAGCTGTGAGTGAGAGTGAGCTGTGAGTGAGAGTGAGCTGTGAGTGAGAGTGAGCTGTGAGTGAGCTGTGTGTGTGAGTGAGTTGTGTGAGTGAGCTGTGAGTGAGAGTGAGCTGTGAGTGAGAGTGAGCTGTGTGTGATGGTGAGCTGTGTGTGTGAGTGAGCTGTGAGTGAGCTGTGAGTGAGAGTGAGCTGTGAGTGAGAGTGAGCTGTGAGTGAGAGTGAGCTGTGTGTGAGTGAGCTGTGTGTGTGAGTGAGCTGTGAGTGAGCTGTGAGTGAGAGTGAGCTGTGAGTGAGAGTGAGCTGTGAGTGAGAGTGAGCTGTGTGTGAGAGTGAGCTGTGTGTGTGAGTGAACTGTGAGTGAGAGTGAGCTGTGTATGAGAGTGAGCTGTGTGTGTGAGTGAACTGTGAGTGAGAGTGAGCTGTGAGTGAGAGTGAGCTGTGAGTGAGAGTGATCTGTGAGTGAGAGTGAGCTGTGAGTGAGCTGTGAGTGAGAGTGAGCTGTGTGTGAGTGAGCTGTGAGTGAGAGTGAGCTGTGTGAGAGTGAGCTGTGAATGAGCTGTGAGTGTGAGTGAGCTGTGAGTGAGAGTGAGCTGTGAGTGAGAGTGAGCTGTGAGTGAGAGTGAGCTGTGAGTGAGAGTGAGCTGTGAGTGAGAGTGAGCTATGAGTGAGAGTGAGCTGTGAGTGAGAGTGAGCTGTGTGTGAGAGTGAGCTGTGTGTGAGTGAGCTGTGAGTGAGCTGTGAGTGAGAGTGAGCTGTGTGTGAGAGTGAGCTGTGAGTGAGAGTGAGCTGTGTGTGAGAGTGAGCTGTGTGTGAGAGTGAGCTGTGAGTGAGAGTGAGCTGTGAGTGAGAGTGAGCTGTGTGTGAGAGTGAGCTGTGTGTGAGAGTGAGCTGTGTGTGAGCTGTGAGTGAGAGTGAGCTGTGAGTGAGCTGTGTGTGAGAGTGAGCTGTGAGTGAGAGTGAGCTGTGTGTGTGTGTGAGCTGTGTGTGAGAGTGAGCTGTGAGTGAGAGTGAGCTGTGAGTGAGAGTGAGCTGTGAGTGAGAGTGAGCTGTGAGTGAGCTGTGTGTGTGAGTGAGTTGTGTGAGTGAGCTGTGAGTGAGAGTGAGCTGTGAGTGAGAGTGAGCTGTGTGTGAGAGTGAGCTGTGAGTGAGAGTGAGCTGTGAGTGAGAGTGAGCTGTGAGTGAGAGTGAGCTGTGAGTGAGCTGTGAGTGAGAGTGAGCTGTGAGTGAGCGAGCTGTGAGTGAGAGTGAGCTGTGTGTGAGAGTGAACTGTGAGTGAGCTGTGAGTGAGAGTGAGCTGTGAGTGAGCTGTGAGTGAGCTGTGAGTGAGATTGAGCTGTGAGTGAGAGTGAGCTGTATGTGAGAGTGAGCTGTGAGTAAGAGTGAGCTGTGAGTGAGAGTGAGCTGTGTGTGAGAGTGAGCTGTGTGTGAGAGTGAGCTGTGAGTGAGAGTGAGCTGTGTGTGAGAGTGAGCTGTGTGTGAGAGTGAGCTGTGAGTGAGAGTGAGCTGTGAGTGAGATTGAGCTGTGTGTGAGAGTGAGCTGTGAGTGAGCTGTGAGTGAGAGTGAGCTGTGTGTGAGTGAGCTGTGAGTGAGAGTGAGCTGTGTGTGAGAGTGAGCTGTGTGTGAGAGTGAGCTGTGAGTGAGAGTGAGCTGTGAGTGAGATTGAGCTGTGTGTGAGTGAGCTGTGAGTGAGAGTGAGCTGTGACAGTGAGCTGTGAGTGTGAGTGAGCTGTGTGTGAGAGTGAGCTGTGAGTGAGATTGAGCTGTGTGTGAGTGAGCGGTGAGTGAGAGTGAGCTGTGGGTGAGAGTGAGCTGTGAGTGAGAGTGAGCTGTAAGTGAGAGTGAGCTGTGTGTGAGAGTGAGCTGTGAGTGAGCTGTGAGTGAGAGTGAGCTGTGAGTGAGAGTGAGCTGTGAGTGAGCTGTGAGTGAGAGTGAGCTGTAAGTGAGAGTGAGCTGTGTGTGAGAGTGAGCTGTGAGTGAGCTGTGAGTGAGAGTGAGCTGTGTGTGTGAGTGAGCTGTGAGTGAGCTGTGAGTGAGAGTGAGCTGTGAGTGAGAGTGAGCTGTGAGTGAGAGTGAGCTGTGTGTGAGTGAGCTGTGTGTGTGAGTGAGCTGTGAGTGAGCTGTGAGTGAGAGTGAGCTGTGAGTGAGAGTGAGCTGTGAGTGAGAGTGAGCTGTGTGTGAGAGTGAGCTGTGTGTGTGAGTGAACTGTGAGTGAGAGTGAGCTGTGTATGAGAGTGAGCTGTGTGTGTGAGTGATCTGTGAGTGAGAGTGAGTTGTGAATGAGCTGTGAGTGTGAGTGAGCTGTGAGTGAGAGTGAGCTGTGAGTGAGAGTGATCTGTGAGTGAGAGTGAGCTGTGAGTGAGCTGTGAGTGAGAGTGAGCTGTGTGTGAGTGAGCTGTGAGTGAGAGTGAACTGTGTGAGAGTGAGCTGTGAATGAGCTGTGAGTGTGAGTGAGCTGTGAGTGAGAGTGAGCTGTGAGTGAGAGTGATCTGTGAGTGAGAGTGAGCTGTGAGTGAGCTGTGAGTGAGAGTGAGCTGTGTGTGAGTGAGCTGTGAGTGAGAGTGAGCTGTGTGAGAGTGAGCTGTGAGTGAGCTGTGAGTGTGAGTGAGCTGTGTGTATGAGTGAGCTGTATGTGAGAGTGAGCTGTGTGTGAGAGTGAGCTGTGTGTGAGAGTGAGCTGTGTGTGAGAGTAAGCTGTGAGTGAGAGTGAGCTGTGTGTGTGACCTATGAGTGAGCTGTGTTTGAGTGAGCTGTGAGTGAGAGTGAGCTATGAGTGAGAGTGAGCTGTGAGTGAGAGTGAGCTATGAGTGAGAGTGAGCTGTGAGAGTGAGCTGTGTGTGAGAGCGAGCTGTGAGTGAGAGTGAGCTGTGAGTGAGAGTGAGCTGTGAGTGAGAGTGAGCTGTGAGTGAGCTGTGAGTGAGAGTGAGCTGTGTGTGAGAGTGAAAGTGAGCTGTGAGTGAGAGTGAGCTGTGTGTGAGAGTGAGCTGTGAGAGTGAGCTATGAGTGAGAGTGAGCTATGAGTGAGAGTGAGCTGTGTGTGTGAGTGAGCTGTGAGTGAGAGTGAGCTGTGTGTGAGAGTGAGCTGTGTGTGTGAGTGAGCTGTGTGTGAGAGTGAGCTGTGTGTGAGAGTGAGCTGTGAGTGAGAGTGAGCTGTGAGTGAGATTGAGCTGTGTGTGAGTGAGCTGTCTGGAAGAGTGAGCTGTGAGTGAGAGTGAGCTGTGTGTGAGAGTGAGCTATGAGTGAGAGTGAGCTGTGAGTGAGCTATGAGTGAGAGTGAGCTGTGTGTGAGAGTGAGCTGTGAGTGAGAGTGAGCTATGAGTGAAAGTGAGCTGTGAGTGAGAGTGAGCTGTGAGTGAGAGTGAGCTGTGAGTGAGAGTGAGCTGTGTGTGAGAGTGAGCTATGAGTGAGAGTGAGCTGTGTGTGAGAGTGAGCTATGAGTGAGAGTGAGCTGTGTGTGAAAGTGAGCTGTGTATAAGAGTGAGCTGTGTGTGTGAGTGAGCTGTGAGTGAGCTGTGAGTGTGAGTGAGCTGTGAGTGAGTGTGAGTGAGCTGTGAGTGTGAGTGAGCTGTGAGTGAGAGTGAGCTGTGAGTGAGAGTGATCTGTGAGTGAGAGTGATCTGTGAGTGAGAGTGAGCTGTGAGTGAGCTGTGAGTGAGAGTGAGCTGTGTGTGAGTGAGCTGTGAGTGAGAGTGAGCTGTGTGTGAGAGTGAGCTGTGTGTGAGAGTGAGCTGTGAGTGAGAGTGAGCTGTGAATGAGAGTGAGCTATGAGTGAGAGTGAGCTGTGAGTGAGAGTGAGCTATGAGTGAGAGTGAGCTGAGAGTGAGCTGTGTGTGAGAGTGAGCTGTGAGTGAGAGTGAGCTGTGAGTGAGAGTGAGCTGTGAGTGAGAGTGAGCTGTGTGTGAGAGTGAGCTGTGTGTGTGAGTGAGCTGTGAGTGAGAGTGAGCTGTGTGTGAAAGTGAGCTGTGAGTGAGAGTGAGCTGTGTGTGAGAGTGAGCTGTGAGTGAGAGTGAGCTGTCTGGAAGAGTGAGCTGTGAGTGAGAGTGAGCTGTGTGTGAGAGTGAGCTATGAGTGAGAGTGAGCTGTGTGTGAGAGTGAGCTGTGTGTGAGAGTGAGCTGTGTATGAGAGTGAGCTGTGTGTGAGAGTGAGCTGTGTGTGAGAGTGAGCTGTGTGTGAGAGTGAGCTGTGTGTGAGAGTGAGCTGTGAGTGAGTGTGAGTGAGCTGTGAGTGAGTGTGAGTGAGCTGTGAGTGAGCTGTGTGTGTGAGTGAGCTGTGAGTGAGAGTGAGCTGTGTGTGAGAGTGAGCTGTGAGTGAGAGTGAGCTGTGAGTGAGAGTGAGCTGTGAGTGAGAGTGAGCTGTGAGTGAGCTGTGTGTGAGAGTGAGCTGTGAGTGAGAGTGAGCTGTGAGTGAGAGTGAGCTATGTGTGAGAGTGAGCTGTGAGTGAGCTGTGTGTGAGTGTGAGCTGTGTATGAGTGAGCTGCGAGTGAGAGTGAGCTGTGTGTGTGAGTGAGAGTGAGCTGTGAGAGTGAGCTGTGAGTGAGAGTGAGCTGTGAGTGAGCTGTGAGTGAGTGAGCTGTGAGTGAGAGTGAGCTGTGTGTGAGAGTGAGCTGTGAGTGAGTGTGAGCTGTGTGTGAGAGTGAGCTGTGAGTGAGAGTGAGCTGTGAGTGAGAGTGAGCTGTGAGTGAGAGTGAGCTGTGAGTGAGAGTGAGCTGTGAGTGAGAGTGAGCTGTGTGTGAGAGTGAGCTATGAGTGAGCTGTGTGTGAGAGTGAGCTGTGAGTGAGAGTGAGCTGTGAGTGAGAGTGAGCTGTGAGTGAGAGTGAGCTGTGAGTGAGTGAGCTGTGAGTGAGAGTGAGCTGTGTGTGAGAGTGAGCTGTGAGTGAGAGTGAGCTGTGAGTGAGTGAGCTGTGAGTGAGAGTGAGCTATGAGTGAGAGTGAGCTGTGTGTGAGAGTGAGCTGTGAGTGAGAGTGAGCTGTGAGCTGTATCACTGACCAGCTGCTCCCTGCTGTGCCATCACGTCCGCCACATCCTCACTGAGGCTCTTGGGCAGCCTCAGGAGCTTGAGATTCAGATCACCGAGCTTCTGGATTGAAGGGATGAAGGTGGCCACCTGGTACCTGCACACCATGGTAACTGTTGTTAACTCTCACACCATGGTAACTGTTAACTCTCACGCCATGGTAACTGTTGTTAACTCTCACACCATGGTAACTGTTAACTCTCACGCCATGGTAACTGTTGTTAACTCTCACACCATGGTAACTGTTGTTAACTCTCACACCATGGCAACTGTTGTTACCTCTCACACCATGGTAACTGCTGTTATCTCTCACACCATGGTAACTGTTGTTAACTCTCACACCATGGTAACTGATGTTAACTCTCACACCATGGCAACTGTTGTTACCTCTCACACCATGGTAACTGTTGTTAACTCTCACGCCATGGTAACTGTTAACTCTCACACCATGGTAACTGTTGTTAACTCTCACACCATGGTAACTGTTGTTAACTCTCACTCCATGGTAACTGTTGTTAACTCTCACACCATGGTAACTGTTGTTAACTCTCACTCCATGGTAACTGTTGTTAACTCTCACTCCATGGTAACTGTTGTTACCTCTCACACCATGGTAACTTTTGTTAACTCTCACACCATGGTAACTGTTGTTAACTCTCACTCCATGGTAACTGTTGTTAACTCTCACACCATGGTAACTGTTGTTAACTCTCACTCCATGGTAACTGTTGTTAACTCTCACACCATGGTAACTGTTAACTCTCACACCATGGTAACTGATGTTAACTCTCACACCATGGTAACTGTTGTTAGCTCTCACACCATGGTAACTGTTGTTAACTCTCACACCATGGTAACTGTTAACTCTCACACCATGGTAACTGATGTTAACTCTCACACCATGGTAACTGCTGTTAACTCTCACACCATGGTAACTGTTGTTAACTCTCACACCATGGTAACTGTTAACTCTCACACCATGGTAACTGTTGTTAACTCTCACTCCATGGTAACTGTTGTTAACTCTCACACCATGGTAACTGTTGTTAACTCTCACACCATGGTAACTGTTAACTCTCACACCATGGTAACTGATGTTAACTCTCACACCATGGTAACTGCTGTTAACTCTCACACCATGGTAACTGTTGTTAACTCTCACACCATGGTAACTGTTGTTAACTCTCACACCATGGTAACTGTTGTTAACTCTCACTCCATGGTAACTGTTGTTAACTCTCACACCATGGTAACTGTTGTTAACTCTCACTCCATGGTAACTGTTGTTAACTCTCACTCCATGGTAACTGTTGTTACCTCTCACACCATGGTAACTGTTGTTAACTCTCACACCATGGTAACTGTTGTTAACTCTCACTCCATGGTAACTGTTGTTAACTCTCACACCATGGTAACTGTTGTTAACTCTCACTCCATGGTAACTGTTGTTAACTCTCACACCATGGTAACTGTTAACTCTCACACCATGGTAACTGATGTTAACTCTCACACCATGGTAACTGTTGTTAACTCTCACACCATGGTAACTGTTGTTAACTCTCACACCATGGTAACTGTTAACTCTCACACCATGGTAACTGATGTTAACTCTCACACCATGGTAACTGCTGTTAACTCTCACACCATGGTAACTGTTGTTAACTCTCACACCATGGTAACTGTTAACTCTCACACCATGGTAACTGTTGTTAACTCTCACACCATGGTAACTGTTGTTAACTCTCACTCCATGGTAACTGTTAACTCTCACACCATGGTAACTGTTGTTAACTCTCACACCATGGTAACTGTTGTTAACTCTCACACCATGGTAACTGATGTTAACTCTCACACCATGGTAACTGCTGTTAACTCTCACACCATGGTAACTGTTGTTAACTCTCACACCATGGTAACTGTTAACTCTCACACCATGGTAACTGTTAACTCTCACTCCATGGTAACTGTTGTTAACTCTCACTCCATGGTAACTGTTAACTCTCACACCATGGTAACTGTTAACTCTCACACCATGGTAACTGTTGTTACCTCTCACACCATGGTAACTGTTGTTAACTCTCACACCTAGGTAACTGATGTTAACTCTCACACCATGGTAACTGTTGTTACCTCTCACACCATGGTAACTGTTGTTCACTCTCACACCATGGTAACTGTTGTTAACTCTCACACCATGGTAACTGATGTTAACTCTCACACCATGGTAACTGTTGTTACCTCTCACACCATGGTAACTGTTGTTCACTCTCACACCATGGTAACTGTTGTTAACTCTCACACCATGGTAACTGTTGTTAACTCTCACACCATGGTAACTGTTGTTCACTCTCACACCATGGTAACTGTTGTTTACTCTCACACCATTGTAACTGTTGTTACCTCTCACACCATTGTAACTGTTGTTACCTCTCACACCATGGTAACTGTTGTTAACTCTCACACCATGGTAACTGTTGTTAACTCTCACACCATGGTAACTGTTAACTCTCACACCATGGTAACTGTTGTTAACTCTCACACCATGGTAACTGTTAACTCTCACACCATGGTAACTGTTGTTAACTCTCACACAATTGTAACCCGCTGTTATCTCTAACTCCTAGGTCATCGCTGTTACCTCTGATATCATGATGGGGGTAAAGGGGGTAGTGGTGGAGGGGGGTGGTGGTGGGGGGTGGTTTACACACCGCACCAGGTACTAATTTTGAGGCCGAATCGACCTAGGGGAGGCCCATGACCGGTTCAGATAATCGTCAGCGGCGTTGGCCGTGGTCGGGAATCGAACTCCACTACCCCAGCGGCGTGCACAGTGACACACTGTGTGGTGGTGCACAGTGACACACCGTGTGGTGGTGCACAGTGACACACTGTGTGGTGGTGCACAGTGACACACTGTGTGGTGGTGCACAGTGACACACTGCGTGGTGGTGCACAGTGACACACCGTGTGGTGGTGCACAGTGACACACTGTGTGGTGGTGCACAGTGACACACTGTGTGGTGGTGCACAGTGACACACTGCGTGGTGGTGCACAGTGACACACTGCGTGGTGGTGCACAGTGACACACTGCGTGGTGGTGCACAGTGACACACTGCGTGGTGGTGCACAGTGACACACTGCGTGGTGGTGCACAGTGACACACTGCGTGGTGGTGCACAGTGACACACTGTGTGGTGGTGCACAGTGACACACTGTGTGGTGGTGCACAGTGACACACTGTGTGGTGGTGCACAGTGACACGCTGTGTGGTGGTGCACAGTGACACACTGTGTGGTGGTGCACAGTGACACACTGTGTGGTGGTGCACAGTGACACACTGTGTGGTGGTGCACAGTGACACACTGTGTGGTGGTGCACAGTGACACACTGTGTGGTGGTGCACAGTGACACACTGTGTGGTGGTGCACAGTGACACACTGCGTGGTGGTGCACAGTGACACGCTGTGTGGTGGTGCACAGTGACACACTGTGTGGTGGTGCACAGTGACACGCTGTGTGGTGGTGCACAGTGACACACTGCGTGGTGGTGCACAGTGACACACTGTGTGGTGGTGCACAGTGACACACTGTGTGGTGGTGCACAGTGACACACTGCGTGGTGGTGCACAGTGACACACTGTGTGGTGGTGCACAGTGACACACTGCGTGGTGGCGCACAGTGACACACTGTGTGGTGGTGCACAGTGAGACACTGTGTGGCGGTGCACAGTGACACACTGTGTGGTGGTGCACAGTGACACACTGTGTGGTGGTGCACAGTGACACACTGCGTGGCGGTGCACAGTGACACACTGCGTGGTGGTGCACAGTGAGACACTGCGTGGCGGTGCACAGTGACACACTGCGTGGTGGTGCACAGTGACACACTGCGTGGTGGTGCACAGTGACACACTGCGTGGTGGTGCACAGTGACACGCTGTGTGGTGGTGCACAGTGACACACTGTGTGGTGGTGCACAGTGACACACTGTGTGGTGGTGCACAGTGACACACTGCGTGGTGGTGCACAGTGACACACTGCGTGGTGGTGCACAGTGACACACTGCGTGGTGGTGCACAGTGACACACTGCGTGGTGGTGCACAGTGACACGCTGTGTGGTGGTGCACAGTGACACACAGTGTGGTGGTGCACAGTGACACACTGTGTGGTGGTGCACAGTGACACACTGCGTGGTGGTGCACAGTGACACACTGCGTGGTGGTGCACAGTGACACACTGCGTGGTGGTGCACAGTGACACACTGCGTGGTGGTGCACAGTGACACACTGTGTGGTGGTGCACAGTGACACACTGTGTGGTGGTGCACAGTGACACACTGTGTGGTGGTGCACAGTGACACACTGTGTGGTGGTGCACAGTGACACACTGCGTGGTGGTGCACAGTGACACACTGCGTGGTGGTGCACAGTGACACACTGCGTGGTGGTGCACAGTGACACACTGTGTGGTGGTGCACAGTGACACACTGTGTGGTGGTGCACAGTGACACACTGTGTGGTGGTGCACAGTGACACACTCTGTGGTGGTGCACAGTGACACGCTGTGTGGTGGTGCACAGTGACACACTGTGTGGTGGTGCACAGTGACACACTGTGTGGTGGTGCACAGTGACACACTGTGTGGTGGTGCACAGTGACACACTGTGTGGTGGTGCACAGTGACACACTGTGTGGTGGTGCACAGTGACACACCTGCTGGCGCCGTCGAGCTTCTTGAGGTCGTCGACGCATCGCCGCACCAGCAGCTTGTGGGCCTCCACTTCCGCCGCCATCGTCTCCTGAGGCACAAGCGACACCACGGACAGCTCTAGACCCCCTCTAGACCCCCTCTAGACCCCCTCTAGACCCCCTCTAGACCCCCCTCTAGACCCCCCTCTAGACCCCCCTCTAGACCCCCCTCTAGACCCCCTCTAGACCCCCCTCTAGACCCCCTCTAGACCCTCCTCTAGACCCTCCTCTAGGCCCTCCACTAGACCCCCCTGTAGGCCCCCTCTAGACCCCCTCTAGACCCCCTCTAGACCCCCTCTAGACCCCCCTCTAGACCCCCTCTAGACCCCCTCTAGACCCCCTCTAGACCCCCTCTAGACCCCCTCTAGACCCTCCTCTAGACCCTCCTCTAGGCCCTCCACTAGACCCCCCTCTAGACCCCCCTCTAGATCCCCTCTAGACCCCCTCTAGACCCCCCTCTAGACCCCCCCCCTCTAGGCCCCCCTCTAGACGCCCCTCTAGACCCCCTCTAGACCCCCCTCTAGACCCCCCCCCTCTAGGCCCCCCTCTAGACGCCCCTCTAGACCCCCTCTAGGCCAGTGTAACACGCAGCCTGTGGTGACCAACGTGACCCGTCATGGAGGTGTTCTGGGTGAGCGTCAAGTCACGTGATCTCACCCAGAACACGTCTCGTGGGCAGCGCGGCCATCGGACTCATTTCGTGACTTTGCCACAGCAGCTCAAGTGAGGAGGGGAAATGAGAGATGAGCGCAGTGATTTGTGTTTAATTAATTCCCCACGAGTGGAATGTGCACAGTCTACTTGGCTGAATACATAAATAAAGTTTGATGAGTTCACCTGTCCCTGCGCCCTGTGATGAGAGCGAGGGTGAGAGACCCACAGGGAGGTGGGGGAGAGGCGTGGGTGAGGTGCAGTGGAGGGAGGAGAGGGGGCAGAGGAAGTGAGAGACAGACGGAGACGAGACACGTTGTGTGTGCAGCACAGGCAGCAGGAAGGAGGAGAGAGACACGTTGTGTGTGCAGCACAGGCAGCAGGAAGGAGGAGAGAGACACTTTGTGTGTGCAGCACAGGCAGCAGGAAGGAGGAGAGAGACACGTTTTGCCGGCTGGCTCCGTGCAGCTTCTGCGCCAAACGCGCTGGAAACCCCCTGCACCAGGCCACCAATCAGGGCGCGGGACGAGCCCCGTGCCTCGCCGCGATTGGCTGTCATCATTTCTCCTTCGCTCCGATTGGTCGCCTCGTGGTGGGGGAATTCCGAGCGTCACGTGACCGCGTGAGACGCGAGGCCACTCCACTCAAGCACTCACTAATTAACTACTCACTAATTAACTCACTCACTACTTAACTACTCACCACTTAACTACTCACTACTTTACTACTCATGAGTTAAATACTCACTGCTTAACTACTCAATAACTAACTACTCACTCCTTAACTCATTTACTCAGCACTCATTACCCAGCAAGCATTAGTTACTCACTACTCACGAGTTCACTGAATACTCATTACTTTTTCATTACTGAGCACGATTTACTAAACAGGACCCTGCGGGGTGGGCTGCTAGGAATAATACTTAATCCCGGTACAGGGATATCGACCGGGCTGGGTGGGGAGGGGCTGGGTGGGGAGGGGCTGGGTGGGGAGGGGCTGGTCACCCCGTGGTGTCCTTATAAAACTCAACGTTTAACCTACTCACGCCGGCTTGTGCCCGCCCTCACAGTCGGACATATTTGAGGAATACACCACGCCGCCGTTGACCCTGGCCATTGACCGAGCAACCCAATGTTCCTACCAGCTCCCTCCGCAGGAATGTGTTCTATGTGCCACTCAGTCCGTATTTAGCCGCCTATTCTGTTGTTCCACTCAGTCGACTGAACGGGTTTAAGGCAGTGACTGGAGAAAATGTGTTGCCTGTAGTGTGCAAAAAACTCATCTTGCTGTGATTTGCTTACTAATGTAAAAGCGGGGGTGCTGCATCATTGTTTTTAATTATAATATCACTCAAATATTGGTGGGGGGATAGGGCGGGGGAGGCAGGGCTGGGTGGCGCGTCTTACTTCTCGGTGGTTTTGTTTGTGTGCAGATAATAAATCGCAACAAAATTGAAGCAGAGAAGTGCACCGCCTCCTACACCAGTTGACAGCCCCCCCCCCAACACCCCCCAACACCACCCCTCCCACCAGCCCTCACCACCCCCCCACCACCCCCCACCACCACCCAACCCCACCACTACCCCACCACCCCCCACCACCACCTTCTGCACTAGGCCTCGCGAAGCCTCCCGCACTAGGCCTCGCGAAGCCTGCCGCACTAGGCCTCGCGAAGCCTTCTCTGCAGTAGACTTAGCGAAGCCTTCTGCACTAGGCCTCGTGAAGCCTTCTGCACTAGGCCTCGCGAAGCCTCTGCAGTAGGCCTCGCGAAGCCTTCCCTGCAGTAGGCCTCGCGAAGCCTTCTCTGCAGAAGGCCTCGCGATGCCTTCTCTGCAGTAGGCCTCGCGATGCCTTCTCTGCAGTAGGCCTCGCGAAGCCTTCTCTGCAGAAGGCCTCGCGAAGCCTTCTCTGCAGTAGGCCTCGCGATGCCTTCTCTGCAGTAGGCCTCGCGATGCCTTCTCTGCAGTAGGCCTCGCGAAGCCTGCCGCACTAGGCCTCGCGAAGCCTGCTGCACTAGGCCTCGCGAAGCCTTCTCTGCAGTAGACCTAGCGAAGCCTTCTGCACTAGGCCTCGCGAAGCCTTCTCTGCAGTAGGCCTCGCGAAGCCTTCTCTGCAGTAGGCCTCGCGAAGCCTTCTCTGCAGTAGGCCTCGCGAAGCCTTCTCTGCAGTAGGCCTCGCGATGCCTTCTCTGCAGTAGGCCTCGCGAAGCCTTCTCTGCAGTAGGCCTCGCGATGCCTTCTCTGCAGTAGGCCTCGCGATGCCTTCTCTGCAGTAGGCCTCGCGAAGCCTCCTGCAGTAGGCCTCGCGAAGCCTTCTCTGCAGTAGGCCTCGCGATGCCTTCTCTGCAGTAGGCCTCGCGAAGCCTCCTGCAGTAGGCCTCGCGAAGCCTTCTCTGCAGTAGGCCTCGCGAAGCCTTCTCTGCAGTAGGCCTCGCGATGCCTTCTCTGCAGTAGGCCTCGCGAAGCCTTCTCTGCAGTAGGCCTCGCGAAGCCTTCCCTGCAGTAGGCCTCGCGATGCCTTCTCTGCAGTAGGCCTCGCGAAGCCTCCTGCAGTAGGCCTCGCGAAGCCTTCTCTGCAGTAGGCCTCGCGATGCCTTCTCTGCAGTAGGCCTCGCGAAGCCTCCTGCAGTAGGCCTCGCGATGCCTTCTCTGCAGTAGGCCTCGCGATGCCTTCTCTGCAGTAGGCCTCGCGAAGCCTTCTGCACTAGGCCTCGCGAAGCCTTCTCTGCAGTAGGCCTCGCGAAGCCTTCTCTGCAGTAGGCCTCGCGATGCCTTCTCTGCAGTAGGCCTCGCGAAGCCTTCTCTGCAGTAGGCCTCGCGAAGCCTTCCCTGCAGTAGGCCTCGCGATGCCTTCTCTGCAGTAGGCCTCGCGAAGCCTCCTGCAGTAGGCCTCGCGAAGCCTTCTCTGCAGTAGGCCTCGCGATGCCTTCTCTGCAGTAGGCCTCGCGAAGCCTCCTGCAGTAGGCCTCGCGAAGCCTTCTCTGCAGTAGGCCTCGCGATGCCTTCTCTGCAGTAGGCCTCGCGAAGCCTCCTGCAGTAGGCCTCGCGAAGCCTTCTCTGCAGTAGGCCTCGCGATGCCTTCTCTGCAGTAGGCCTCGCGAAGCCTTCCCTGCAGTAGGCCTCGCGAAGCCTTCTCTGCAGTAGGCCTCGCGATGCCTTTTCCGCAGTAGGCCTCGCAAAGGCTGCCGCACTAGGCCTCGCGAAGCCTGCCGCACTAGGCCTCGTGCCGTGCTTTTCGTGCACAAATAAGGCGATTAAATGTATCTCGTCTCTGTGTTAATAAATGTATCTGTGTTAAAAAAACGTGCTGCGTTTCAGTAAAGTAAATTTGAAGTGAAGTTTAAAGTTTCGCCGTGAGGCGCCGGAAGCGACGGCCATCTTGTTTAGTTCACAGATCGCAGGGGGAGCGGGCGGCCATCTTGTCGGACAGGGTCATGCCAAGTGTTTGCAGTAGGGGGCGATGTTGATACACGGACGGACGGACGGACACATTAATCTATTGGTGGTCTGGTCCTCTTCGTTCCTACCAGTATTAACTTGGCACTCACTGAGTCTCTGTGTGTCTCTCAGTGTCTCACCGCGCCAGTCTCCCATTGGCTGCCTCCAGCCCCTGTGGGCGTGTCTGTGCCGTGACGTCACCGCCCTCGGGGGTTTCCGTCTCCGGGCGGCGCCGCCCCCGGGGCCATGGCAACGCCCTGGAAACCCCCTGCAGCAGGCGACCAATCAGAGCGCGCGACGAGCCCTGCTGCTGCTGCTGCTGCCGCCTTCTCATTGGTCGCCGTCGTCTCCCCTCCCATTGGTCGCCTCGCGGTGGTGGATTCCAAGTCGGGATGGGACTCAAACTAAACTCTCAACTATTTTGACTTCGTGACTGCAGCAATTAATATTCTTGGTTCTTTCGGTAAAGTCACGTAGATAGAAAATACAAATAATAAAATAAAATTGAAAATAAACTGAAAAGAAAAGCAAAAACCCCACGAGGTTTGGATGGCAACACCCGCGGTGGTGCCGATGACATTCGCCATCGATGTTGACACTGAACAAGACGACTGGGAACTCACGACGACATTTCCCAGGGTGCACCGCGCCACTGGAGCAGCTCGTCTGCTGAGACGGGCAGCAGCAGCAGCCAACTACTCACCATTCTACTACACAGCACGTCACTGTTCAACTCACTCTCTATGTCACTGTTTAACTCACTCTATTTAACTCACTCACTATGTCACTATTTAACTCACTCACTATGTCACTATTTAACTCACTCACTATGTCACTGTTCAACTCACTCTCTATGTCACTATTTAACTCACTCACTATGTCACTATTTAACTCACTCACTATGTCACTATTTAACTCACTCACTATGTCACTGTTCAACTCACTCTCTATGTCACTATTTAACTCACTCACTATGTCACTATTTAACTCACTCACTATGTCACTATTTAACTCACTCACTATGTCACTGTTCAACTCACTCTCTATGTCACTATTTAACTACCGCTCTGCTCGAGGCTCAGAGAGCCACGACTTGTCCCCCTCACCTGCCCCCCCCGCGCCCCCCCCCCCCCTGGGCGTGTTCGCACGGTGACGTCACCGCCGGGGATTTCCGAAGCGGCGCGGGTCCGGGTCGGGTTGAGAGAAACGCCGCGGAAATCCCCTTCGCCAGGGGACCAATCAGAGCGCGCGGCGGGCCCCGTTGCCCCGCTCCCATTGGTCGCCGTCTTGGCACGTAAACACTCGCTAGTTATAACTTACTTGCTAGTTAACGCACTCACTAATCACCTCACTATTCAACTCCCTCACTATTCAATTCACTCATTATTTTACTCACTATTCAACTCACTCGCTATTTAACTCAATATTCAACTCACTCACTATTCAACTCACTCACTATGCAACTCACTCACTATTTAACTCACTCACTATTTAACTTACTCATTATTTAACTCACTCACTATTTAACTCACTCACTATGCAACTCACTCACTATTCAACTCACTCACTATTCAACTCACTCACTATGCAACTCACTCATTATTTAACTACCGCTCTGCTCGGGGCTCAGAGAACCCGAGACCAGAACCCTGTCCCCGTGCCCCCCTGTCCCCGTGCCCCCCCCCCCCTCACCTGGCGGTGTCTCTGAGCTCTCGGGGTCTTCGCCTCTCGCCTCCTCTCGCTGCGCAGCTTCTGACAAGAAACAGAAGCCGCAGCTGTCACTCAACTAGCACGCCCCGCCCCCTGCCCCTCCTACTACCCCCGCCCTGCACCCCGCCCCCTTCACTTCACCCCGCCCCTCACAACCAATAAGCCCCCCCACAACCCCCCCGCCCCCTCTCCCCCCACCCGACCCCCTCCCCCCACAACGCTCCCTCCCCCAACCCCCGTGCACCCCTCCGCCACAACTCCCCCAGCCCCTCCCCCCCGCGCCGTGAACGGCATCGCGCTGGAAACCCCCTTGAGCAGCAGGCGAACAATCGGGGCGCGGGACGAGACCCGCTGCCCCGCTCCGATTGGCCGAGCTCCGATCGCTTGCGCGCTCTGATTGGTCGCTGGTGCGATGTGTAAACATCATCGCTAGCACTGGGGAGACAAAGGCGGCCGGGCGTGGTGCTGGCCACCCACCCCCTCGTGTGCCGTGCTGGCCTTCATAGGTGCTCGCTAACAGCACTTGCCCCTACAGTCTGTTACAGGCTACACGGGGGATCTTTGTGTGTTGTGTCTGAGTGCTGTAATGAGCCCAAGGGGCTGGATCTATGCCGTTTCCGTCTTATTCCAGCAAGCAACAACCGCCATTCGCCACTAAGTGGCGGTGACGTCACTACGACGCTTGTGCCAGGCCATGTGCACCTTGAGGCCACGAAGTGTCGAACGCCCGCTGGCAGGAGGTCACGGGGCAGACCCAGCAGGTGCCACGGGTCGACTGACTGAGATGACCGAGATGACTGGCTGATGCACCACCTGTGCCCCCACTGTGCCAACTTGCTGTGCTTTAGCCACCC